TTGGTTGCTATGCACAGCTGCTCCAGTCTTAGTAAATTCCCCTCTCGTGTATTAAGATGTCTGTAAGTGATTGAAACAAGAAAATATGGCGCCAGCACACCTCTTGCTTCAGAAGTTCATCTTTACAGACATTAATGCAGCATGACAAAAAATTGCAACGTTTCAGAACTGTACAGAATTCCTTCATCAGGCAAACAGCACCCACTTTACAGGCGTAAAGCGCTATAGTATGCAAAGGAGATATATTCAAAGTGTGTACATACAGGTGAAACTCGAATAATTAGAATATCGTGCAAAGTTCATTTATTTCACTAATGCAACTTAAAAGGTGAAACTAATATATGAGATAGACTCATTACATGCAAAGCAAGATAGTTCAAGCCGTGATTTGTCATAATTGTGATGATTATGGCTTACAGCTCATGAAAACCCCAAGAACCCCAAATCCACAACCTCAAAAAAGTAGATTATTACATGCAATCAATAAAACAAGGATTGTACATAGAACAATATCGGACCTCTGAAAAGTACAAGCATGCATATGTACTCAGTACTTGGTTTGGGCCCCTTTTGCAGCAATTACTTTTGCATCATATTCTAATTATTCGAGTTTCACCTGTACATGAAGTCACACGTTTTTACATACTATAGAAATATTGCTGTTTAGCTACCCGAATTGAATGTTGGTGTTAAAATATGTCCCTCTCCATTCAAGAAAGTCTTTTCCTCCAGTTTATGTTTATTCGGCTAAGAGAAATACAATGACTTGTGCCACATTTTATATTTGGGGCATAAATGTAGAGATCCCCGATTTCTAAAGAGACTGTAATAGCAGGGATCTTTAGCAATGTGTCTCCAGCCTATGACTTAGGGCTTGTTCACACCAAATCTGGACCAGACCTGGGTGAGTTTCTGCATGTGCATTGTGTTTTTGATGCATCCGTCCATTTCCCCCCCTCTTTTTTATAGCCTAAAATGGGCTTTTAGGTATGGGCCCTTTGGTGATGTCAGGGGCCCCCTATAAAAAAGGAAGACCACCACTGGTCTGTGGCCTTGGATTCTAAGATCCGATTGTTCTCTACGTTACAATGACACAAAGCACTGGATACTATGAAGGAAAAGTGAAAGTAACACGATACCATCCAGTACCAAATGTACTTGTCATCAGTTTGCAAAATCTGCCAGGAACCAAAAACTGATCAAGTCAGCAAATAAGCTGAGTTTTGTTACAGAATCTACTACGCAACTTGTCACCATTTCTGCACATTTGCCATTATTTTAAGTCTAACAAGTTAAAAGAAACATTTAAAAAAGGAGAACTATGATTTCCACTCATCCTCATAATTAGAGCCGATCTATAGTTTGGAAAGTGAGCGAACGCATAGCATCGCTCGCTCATTCCTGATCATCTCCCTGCAGAAAGCGGTGACTCCCATCTCTAATCCTTCAACGCTGAGTGGGGGAACGGACAGGGAAGGGGGCGGGCACAACTGGCTCTGCCTCTAGATAGGCAGAGCCAGGTGGGTGGCTCTCGACAGTATTGTCAGGATCCGTGCCAGCTGCGGCGCTCTCGGCATATAGCGGGCAATAGCTTGCTATATACTGAGCTTTGGGTCACAGGAGGGCATTAGCATATGTCCTCCCGTGACCCTAAACAGAACTATGGAATAAAAAGGTGAGCCCATAGTTCTCTTTTAACCAGTTGACATCCGCGGTGTTAAACCCCCTTCCCATCCAGGCCATTTTTCAGTATTCAGCGCTGCGGTACTTTGACTGACATTTATTCCGTCATGCAGCGCTGTAAGCCTAAAGCTAATAAGTAGTATTACAATGTGACTGCTGTCCACCACACTGCTCACTGAGCTAACAAGTTACAACACAAACAGTCTCATGATATTTACAAGGTGTGTTTGTTTGTTGTTGTTGTTTGTGTTTGTCCTCGTCTATGTAGGCAGTAGTTAGGTATGTATAAATGTATGTGTATGTGAAAAAAAATGATATTTACAAGGTTATTCACAAAAGGGTGAAGAGTTTTGAGAAGGCAGGAGAGGCTAAAGTAAGTGATTTGGACAAATTCTCCAATTCAGCTCACTTTCCAGTTCAGCGATGTTCTCCTAGATCAGGGGTAGGCAACCTTTAACACTCAAAGAGCCACTTGGACCCGTTTCCCACAGAAAAATAAACCCCGGGAGCCACAAAACCCTTTTGACATCTAAAATGAAGATAACACTGCATATATCGTTTTTTTACCTTTATGCTATGTATAAAAGAACTATAGTGTGTTGCATTTATGAAAATCAATGAACTGCTACAGAGAAAACACCTGCAGTAAACCAAAAATGTTGTCTGCTTCTGTGTGCCGTCATCTTTTTATCGCATATGTACTGGAGCTGTGGAGCTTACACTCTAATGTCCCTCCACAGTCGCACACTATTATTATACATTTATATAGCTGACATATATCGCAGTGCTGTACAGAGAACACTGAGCCAGTCACAGTGTCTGTACAGAGGAGCTTACACTCTAATGTCCCTCCATAGGTCACACACTATTATACATTTATATAGCTGACATATACCGCAGTGCTGTACAGAGAACACTGAGCCAGTCACAGTCTCTGTACAGGGAAGCTTACACTCTAATGTTCCCCCACAGTCAAAGTCACAGTAAAGATGCTAGCATCAAAAAAGTCAAATTGGATTGTTTTGGGCCACAGACTGGAGGCTGTTCCTCGATTATGTTCCATATGTAAATGTACAATTCAAGAGCGATAACTAAATTATGGGATTTTTTTTAAACGTGAACACTATGTGAATGTAATTTACTACCCTGTTGTTTTGTGGCCCGCTGCTGGTCTCTTCAATAAAAACATGCCTTGAACAGTTTAAAATAAAAGATAATTTCTCTTTTACATAAAAAAAAAAAAGTCAAATTGAAAAAAAAAAAACAAATGATGGAAGAAGATAGGGACACCACAGTGCCTTCCAGGGACTCCCTTAGGGCTTACACTTACATTTTCGGCCTTGTAGGGGACACCCCAGGTTTTTCTCTCTCCCAGCTGGAAGCAGCGGCGGTTCCACAGAGACGGCGTGAGGGGCGTGGCCACAATCCCTGCATAGACCGGCCCGCAAAGGCCGCTAAGCAAACAGGAGGGGGTGGAGCTACACCTTCATCTGTGGTGTGCTGAGACCTCGACAAATGCGGAGATACCGCCCCGTTCCCCAATCACTGCATCTGTCAGATCAGTGGGCGGAAGGAGCGGAGCCGCAGCAGAAGGACGAAGCCGCGGGTTGCCGACCCCTGTCCTAGATTGTTCCCTTGTCCTGCCGTCTCCAAACTCTTCCCCCTTCGTTATCTCAGTAAAGGAACTAATGCAGCTAATTTCCTGTAACTTCAGATTCCATAACACAATTATTTAACAACTCTCCCTAATGATAGATTTAGATTATGTTACAACAACTTACTTCACCGACGCTGGTTTGGATAATAACTATCATGTTGGGGTTATCTTTCAATATCAGAACAAAATAAATATTCTAGAGGCCGCCACCATTACACACAGAGAATTCTAACACATACAAAAAGATTAAAGCCACCAATGAATAGATGATCCAAACAACTCTTTATTTAGCATAAAAGCACCAATTTAAAAAAACACTCCGCCGGGCCATTTTACTTGGAATCTATAAATGCACCTGACCACTCACTGAACAGTTAGACACAGCTTGATGCCCTCAACATTCACAGCACTTTTCATCTCACCAATGAATAGAGTCAATAACTCACATGCAGCATAGGTTAGCACATCTCATCCGCACAACCCATTCCCCTTGTGCCATGCTGACCTAAAAATCCCTAGGCATTACTGCCAGCACTCAGCACAGAGGTGAACGAGGGCTGCCATTTGCACGCAGGGTTTTTGTTGTTGTTCAATGTATAAATACAATTTAGCAAAACGAATAAACCATTGTGGGACCAGAAGATTTGGAAACCCTTTTAAAAACTTGAGAACAAAGACAACGCGACCATTTAAAAAAAAATAGAATCAAATAGTAACAAATGAAAGACAAATCAGGGGAATTTATCAAATCTGGAGCAGTTGCCCATAGTAACCAATCAGCTTCTATCTTATGTTTGTTTGGTTAAGCTCTAAAAAGGAAACAAAGAAGCTGATTGGTTGCTATGGGCAACTACTCCAGGTTCCGTCTGCTCCTGTTTTTTTAATTAATTCCCCTCATTGTTTATCAAAATGTTATGCTGGAGATTATACAGTGTTTAGAAACTTAATGACAACCACATCCTAACCCGGATGAAGGTAGACTGTGCCCAGTGACACACTGCCGACAGCAGGGAAGCAGTAATCATGGAAAGACCTGTTCTGGCAGACATAAAGAGAACCTGTCACTCTTCACATCAAAGTTATATACAGCAGGTAAATGTGCTTGCATACTCATTAGTCAGCGTACATTTATTTCTTGATGTCCATTTAGCTTCTGACAACTGATTTCCTGCGTAAGGGTGGCTCTTTCCCTTGAAGGATCCTATGAAGCCACCCTTGTGTGTGTGTCCACAAAACACTTCACTGATCCCTGCTTCTCCAAGCTAGTAGATAAATGGCTGCTGGGGTCTGCTCTGTCCTTGTGAAGTTCAGGGAAATGGAGCCAAGAGAGTTGGAGATAACTATTTGGAAACATGATGAAGTGTTTGGGTAACAATATAAAGACATACTTTGCTGGCAATGTACACGTGTCTGATCCGGATTCAGTAATGACAGTTTAATAATCATTTAAAGCAGAACTACAACCTCCTATCCTTTATAGCCAAGATAGTTGGGGTTATGAATAATGGGGTGTTACAGGCACATTCAATTATGGGGTTTACAGGTTAAGGGTGCACAGGCACGTACAGGTAGTGGGGTGCACAGGCACGTACAGGTCGTGGGGTGCACAGGCACGTACAGATTTGGGGGTGTGAACACAGGTCCAGGGTGAAGCTCTTACCGTGATGGGCTGCTCCTGCAGGCTCCCCACAGAGAAGCAGTTATCCCCCGGATTGACGGCTCCTGTCAGCACCTGGTGCAGATTCATGATCCAGTGGCCGCATAGAGCCCGGCACAAGGCGGGGTGACAGGCTACCAGGACGACATTAGGGACAGTCCGGAGTCAGTGCGGTGACAGAGGGAACCCCAGGAACAGCGGCCGGCAGAGGACAAGCTGAAGGGAAAACACAGCAGCAGCAAGTGACGCGCACTGGTACAGAGCTGCACAGAGCAGAATCCAGCCAGTGAGGTAACCAGCTGCGTCCGCACTGAGCATGCGCCACTCTCTCGCCACACCTCCGCTGCCGTCATCAGCGCGCGAGCTACACTCCCCACAGTATCAGAAATCCCTCCCTCCACCTTCCTCACTGAAAAGCTATAGGCACAGCAAGAGAGATGAAGGCGTGCCCCAGATGGCGGAGACTGGTTGGGCGAACTACCACTACGGGGCGTGGTTTACTGCCTCTATCAGAGCAAGCGCACCCAAACTGCGCATGTGCGGCCACGCGAAAGTCACATGTTTTGTCAATAATCTCTGGAACAGGAAGATCCAGTTGCCAACGCTGTACTATTCATTATTGTTGTGGAACAGCTGAGGGAAATGTCAGCTTCTCCCACGCAGCCTTCGTTCTTGGAAGTTAGAAGAGATTGGATTGGTGACTGTGGGGAACAACAGACAATTCTCACAGGGGACTGATGACGAAATGTGTAATTCTGTAAGCAAATTAAAGCAAGCATAACCCCACTGATTGTTTCCCATAAGAAAGCCAGAGTAACAAAGCATATCAGACGAAAATTGCACTTTTGGCAAAATGCAGAAAGTGCCATCTTTCGTCCAAAATAGCGGTACATCCCTGCTTTCTCTCTGGGCGCTGCTCTGTGTCCCAGTAGGGAGGAGAGAAACTGTCACAGAAGGCCGACCGCTGCGGGAGGAGGAGAGCGCTGACAGCGGCTGGCGTTTCTCCTTCCCACCCCACTCAGCCTCCTGTGGCAGATCAGGAGAACGGCACTGTGGGGGCGAAGACAGCTTTCACAGGAGGCCAGGCCGATGTAGGGGAGGTGTCAGCTGTCAGAGGAGATAGAGCACTCCTCCCACACCACTCCCTCAGCCTCCTGTGACAGCTGATCCAGGATGGAGATCAAGTATAAGCACTCAGCGATCAATGATGTACATAATATGAGGACATAGTATGTTTACTGTGGCCTCAGTTATGAATGGGAGTGATCTACATCACTTCCTGTCCTTTCATGATTGTGGTTATAGTAAACATACTCTGTCCACATGTTATGAATGAACCAGGAACACTCAGTATAGAGGCTTCCGGTTCATTTATAACAGGGGATGCAGAAAATGAGATTGAGGACTCTGTTCTCAATCTCTTTTTCCATTTACAAACTTAGAGACTTAAAGTTAGAAAAAAAAACATTTTCAGTTTTGGGCTGACATTTTTTTGACCTGATTCCTCCATCAACACAAACAGCGTGTCGATCCAGGAATCCCACTGTTTACATTGTATTCTGACAGGTGCCGGCGGCTCCTATCAGAATACCCGATCAGAGCCGGCAGCTCATTGGCTGCCGGCTCTGATCATTCGAAAATTTTCCAGTCGGCTGAAAGGGAGCCAACAGCCCCACACACTGTGCAAATTTTGGCCGGTACATTAAAAACCGGCTGAAATTTGACTAGTGTATGGCACCGTAAGCCCCATCAGCTGCAAAATGTTCTGCTCAATCAGAATGTCCGTATTGTACTCTAATTGCTCAGAAGAATGGCAGTTGGTGGGACCTAGTCCTAAAGATGCTGATATACTATTTTCTAATAATAGCTGATATAAAAATGAGTGATGGGGGCAGGTAATCATGCCCCATAATGCTCTGTGCTACGTTAACAACATATACTCTAATTGTTCCAATTCAAAAGGCTGTGCAGTGCAAAGCCCACGGCTCTAGTTTTTCTTGTGAAAACCAGCAATATCACTGTAAGGTGACTGCTAGGAGATTTGAAAGACTTCTCAAATAGCTTACTCTCTCATGGAAACATTTTACATGTTTATTATACAAAGCTTTAAAAGAGAACTATGGCCAAACCTTTTTTGGGCCATAGTTCTCTTTAGGGTCACTGGAGGACATTTACTAATATCCTCCTGTGACCCAAAATTCAGCATATAACGAGCTACTGCCCACTAAATGCTGACAGCGCAGAGCCGTGCTGCGGCCAGGAAAGATCCCGACAATATTGTCAGGATCCACCCCACTGTCTGATTGAAAGTCGACTCCAACGATCTGGTGAGTATAACTTTTTTTTAGCTTTAACCTGCATTTAACTCTAGATTCTACACCGAGTGGCCAGATTATTATGACCACCTGACGTTTGTAGGCAAATTAGCTATAATTAACTATAATTTCGCGCTGAAGTTTATAATGGTCTAGAGGGCCAGACCATTATAAATAGGGAAGCAGGTTGTTTACCACGACAGTAGAAGTGATTTTTTTCTGAAGATACGGTTAAACAACGCGATTTAACAGCCTTTGAACGTGGCATGATTGTTGGCGCTCGGAGCCATGGAGCGAGTATCAGCAAAACAGCAGAATTCGTTAAATGTTCAGGGGCAGCTCATTGTTAAAGTGTTTAAAGACTGGACTGTCAGCCGAAAATCTGGGTCTGAACGTGCGAATTGTGGCCGTCAGTGACTAGTCAATGTTAGGGCAGAACGGAGAGTGGCAAGACTGGTACAAGACAACAGAAGGGCAACAGTGCAGTGTCACATTCCTCGCATCACCTTTCAACATCTCGTGGAGTCACGAGGCGGCCCAACGAAGTCATCTCGTGGAGTCATCTCGTGGCCCAACAAAGTACTGATGGGGTGGTCGTAATAATCTGGCCACTCAGTGTATACAAAGACAGAATTTTAGATTTCACATTGTATTTAGCTTTTTGGAGGCCCGGAGGCAACCTAATGTTTTACAACATCCTTCATTTCAGGGAAAAGAAAATACAATTAAACCAAACTGAAAGAAAACTATATAATAGATCAGGGCTCAAAATTTCCACTCGCCCCCTCGCAATTTGCGAGTGAAAATTGCGTAGGGGCGAGTGGAAATGAAGCCTCCTCGGGGCGGCTTCTCTCCTGTTCACCGACCTGATGACAGCGCTCCCTTGTCCGTCCGTCTAAGCAGGAGGGAGCGCTGCTGTCAGGATGGCGGAGCGGTGAGGGGGAGAGAAGCCGCGCCCGCAGCTGTCAGGATGGCCGAGCGGGGAGGAGATCGGAGCCGCTGTCATCCTGTCAGTTTCAGGATGACAGCGGCTCTGTGCGTGGCAGAGCGGGGGATCGGTAAATATCATTGATATTTACCGATCCTCCATGTGAGAAGGACAAACACTGGAGCGATCGTCTGATCACTCCAGTGTTTGTAAATAACTGGGGACACATAGTACTATGTGTCCCCAGTTATGAATGAACAGGCTGTGATTCACATCACAGCCTGTTCATTCATGAATTTCTCAATGGGGAGAAACACTCAGTACAGAGGCTCCTCCCCATTCGGAAACAGCTGATAGTAAATATTTTACTATCAGTGTCTGAATGAATGGGAAGCCTCTGTACTGAGTGCTTCCCATTCACTGAGTGCTGAGGCTGCTGAAAAAGAAATTGAGGATTTGGTGTCCTCAATTTCTTTTCTATTTTAAAAGGGAAATGTCAGGGGTCTGTTTGGACTCCTAATATTTCCCCGAAGCCCCCCCCCCAACAGTAAACAAAATAAATAAATCATAAAATAAAAATAAAAAATTATAATAAAAAAAATTTAAAATGTAAAAAATTATTTTAAAAAGGTGAAAACTGCTCCCCCCCTCACACGCATATTATTAGACATGTGCGAAGACTAAAAATTAATTTCAGATGAAATGTGTATGTGTAATGCTCTGTGCGTCGTGCTGTTGCTGTATGTGTAATGCCCTGTGCGTTGTGCTGTGGCTGTATGTGTGTTGTGCTGTGTGCGCGTTGTGCCCTGTGTGTGTTTGTTTGTGTTATGCAGGGCAACTGGTGGCGAGTAACTTTGAAGGCCTGGCTAGTAGCTCAGGACCTGAAATTTTGAGCCCTGTAATAGATAGCCCTTTTATTTAATATATATATAACTTTGTTTTAGTCTTACAGTTTTTAACAGCCCTCTAAAAAACCTAGGAGGACATGATAGTTAATTAAAAATGTAATTTGCAAGAAAAAACTATTGTGCTGATGATCAATAGTGAAACATTTTAATATTTTAGGAGCAGAAGACTGAACATTATTTTTCTTAACTACATTAACTCTGAATGTAGAAATTGTAACTGTGCACACAGAAAACAATGGTGACCATAAAACCATGAAAAAAAACATTAGGTAATATCTCTGTTACTTTTGAATACTGTATATACATTATTGTGCATTGTGTTTTTCTAGTGTTGTTTGATGTGTAAACAGCCACAAATTAATGATCTAATCCAGCATCAGCCAGACCTTGTTTTGGCCTCCCAGAAAGCATGCTGGAGTGTTTTGTATATGCTGGTAAACTGTGTGCATGCGTATGTGTTCATGAGCCTTAGGGAACACTAGGGAATGACCTGAGGATACGTTAGTAAGTTCTTTAAAGTAAACCATTACTTTAACAAACATTAAGATTAATACAGTCTACACCAGCCTTTCCCAACCAGGGTGCTGCAGCAGCCTGGGGTGCCTTCTCGCTTTGTCGGGGTACCTTCAAATTTCCAAAGCATTCAGAAGAAAAAAGAATTCTGACTGTGTGCAGACTTGTTCCACCTTGCGCCTTCTTCCATTGTGGTGAAATTGATACGATAAGGGGGGCTGATGATGTAAAGGGGACTGATGTCTCTGATGTCAGGGGCTTCTGAGATGTGAAGGGGTCTCCTGATGTGAAGAGGGAACTCTGATGTAAAAGAGTGGAACTCTGATGGGAAGGGGGGTATCTGATGTGAAAGGTGGGAACTCTGATGGGAAGGGGGCATCTGATGTGAAAGGTGGGGACTCTGATGTAAAGAGGAAAACTTTTTTTTTTGCATGGGGTCCATCCTTGAAACCCATTTCAGACCCCTATCTAGCATAAGGGTC